TTGTAAGCATCTCAGTGCTGGCAGGGGTCTCTCTGTGGCTTCTCAGGCTTCCGAGGTCTGGTTGCATCCATGTGGCTTGCCTTCTGAAATGTCTCCCAGGGAGTAGCAGAGAGAGAGAAGTGTTTCTCGCCTCCAAGGAGGAAGGCCCAGATCTCCCAGAATTCTCAGGAGAAGGCCAGGCCTACACAGAGTCTCATTGGCTATCTCCAGATTGACAGCCTAGACTCCACCCCTACACTCTGCATCCTTAGATTGACACCGGATTAGGTGACGACCACAGGTTGGCATCTTTCCAATCACTGTTTGGCCGTTAGTTAGCCCAGGAGAGAAATGGCAAGCCTAAAGACTAGTTTTTGAAACCGTGCTATCTGTTCTTGCTAATTTAACGGTTTCCTTTTTCATGAAAAATCACCTGGGAGGATCCCCATTCATTTAGCCTTCCTAATGGAAAAGAAGAGATTGTGCAGTACAGCCTATGCTTATTTAAGCCCCTTCATTTGTTTGTCTGACTTTAGCACAGTTGCATGTGTGACGTGTGAAGATTGCCTCCATACACACACACCGGCTTCCCAAACACTGTTCTTCTTTCCATAACCAGAATTCTGGAACATCCCAGAGCACACCCATAGACTGTCGGGAACGTCAACAGTAACTAATGGTGCAAACATTTTTCTCGGAGGGCGATGCTAACATTTGGTGACTGGCACAATGATACCTTTAGATTTTCTAAAGGGGAACAGCCATGTGTTTAGTGCACACAGAAAAGACAGACTTTAAAATTTTAAGTAAAACCTAACTATATTGCTTCTAAAAAGAGAACTTTTAAAAGCACCCTCTTTAGACACCTCCCCGCAAAGTGTCAGCTATGCAATAAGCTTTTTTGACTGAGAAACAGTGTCAAGTTGATTCTAAAGTATTGCCTCAGAGTTGCCTTTCTACAAGGACCTCAAGACTGCCCTCCCGTTTGCTCTGTAGCTGAAACATCTCACCGAGTGGCTGTTGCCTTTTTGATCACAGGAAAGCTCCTCAGCAAGCTCACGGGCACGGTCCACCATCACCTCTTTCTAGTTTCCACAAACTTAGGGAAGCACCCTGGACCCCTCCAAGATTTTCATGCTTAAATCACACTTTCACTCTTCCTTTTCCATACTTGTTCGGGTGAGGTTTGACACAGTCAAGCAATTAACTACCTCAAAGACAGGAGATGAAGGAAATTGCCGTCATCAGAGAATTGGATATATGAAAATTGTGTCCATTTAGACCATGCCTGTTTCCTATAACTTTGTCCTTATCAACGAATCCAAAGTGAGTGGGGAAGAAAGGAAACATTGGCCAAACACCAGGCTACGGCAGTGAAGCTTCCACGTCTCGATCACTCGTTATTAGTACTCTCGGGTTTGCATACAGGGCTCACCCTGCAGGTGATTAACAATTAAACTTAAAAGGAATTTGCAATTATTTCTAATGTTTCAGTAAAAGTAGCTTTTTTTAGTAGCATGGAAACAAAGGGGGAAGTTCTAATTAGAAGTGAAATCATAAAGTAGGTCAAAACTTTCTAGGACTCCTAAATACAGTGTTAAGAAAATTTTAGACCATTTTAATAAGTCAGCATGTCTTAAAATCAATGAACTTTAAACAAGTTAAATATTTCTAAATAGCTTTGTGGTGACGTTTTTATTGTTGTTGTTTAGTTTTTGTTTAGTTTTGTTTTCCTTTATAAGCACCTTTTTTCTTGTCATGAAATGCCAGAGATGAGGAAAACCAAGCCATCAGGGAAAATGTGTCATGAATTTAAATAAATCCTTGCTAGTCTTTTATATTTGACTCTCGAGAGTATTGACATTGAAAATAAGCTTTT